GTGATATCTCATTGTGGTTTTGATTTGCATTTTCCTGATGATGAATGATGTTAAGCATCTTCTCATGTCTGTTGGCAATTTGGATGTCTTCTTTGGAGAAATGTCTGTTCATGTCTTCTGTCCATTTTTTAATTATCGGATTGGTTTTTTGGTGTTGAGTTGTGTAAGTGGTTTTTTTGTTTGTTTTTTGTTTTGTTTTGTTTTGTTTTTGAGAGAGAGAGAGAAAGAGCACGAGTGGAGTAGGTGCAGAAAGAGACAGAGAAAGAATTCCAAGCAGGCTATGTGCTGTCGAACAGAGCCCCATGTGGGGCTCAAACTCACTAACTGTGATATCATGACCTGAGCCGAGATCAAGAGGCAGATGCTTAACCGAATGAGCCACCCAAGCGCCCCAAGTTGTATAAGTTTTTTATACATTTTGGAGACTGACCCCTTATCAGATGTCATTTGCAAATATCTTTTCCCACTCTGCAGGTTGTTTTTGTGTTTTGTTGATTGTTTCCTTGACTGGGCAGAACTTTTAATTTTGATGTTAGTCCTGTTTTTTTTTTGTTTTTTTTTTGCTTTTGTTGCCCTTACCACAGAAGACATATCTAGAAAAATACTACTATGGCCAATGTGAGAAATTACTGCCTGTGCTCTCCTTTAGGATGCTTATGGTTTCAGGTGTCATATTTAGGTTCTTAATCCATTTGAGTTTACTTTTGGTGTAAGAAAATGGCCCAGTTTCATTCTTTTGCATGTAGCTGTCTGATTTGCCCAACACCATTCGTTGAAAAGTCTGTCTTTTTCCCATTTCATATTCCTGCCTCTTTTGTTGAAGACTCATTGATCATATAATTGTGGGTTTATTTCTGGCCCTTCTATTCTGTTCCATTGATCTGTGTCTATTTTTCTGCCAATACCATACTATTTTGATTAGTACATCTTTGCAGTATATCTTGAAATCTGGGATTGTGATATCTCCAGTTTTGTTCCTCTTTTTCAAGATTACTTTGGCCATTCAGGATCTCTTATGGTTCCATACAAATTTTAGGATTGTTTGCTCTGGTTCTGTGACAAATGTTGTTGGTATTCTGAAAGGGATTGCATCACATGTATAGGTTGCTCCGGGAAGTATGGGGCATTTTAACATTTGTTCTCCCAATCCAGTTTGGGATGTTTTAGTCAACCTGGATCTCGTTTCTCTATTAATTATTCTATCTTCATTGCTCCTGGTCCTACTTCTCAACTTTAAACATACACAAGGGTTTTTGCTCTCTTGAAAAATCTTCCTCCCTCTGGATAGTGCCCTATTTTTTTCCTTTCTTTCAGTACCACACTTCAAAAGTGTGTGGCTTTACTGCTTCAACTTTATTATCCTCTTACTCCTTAACCTCCTGCTTTCAGCACACTAGTAAACTTACTCTCACAAGTCACAAATTAACTCCTTTAACCAAATTCAATGGACTCTTCTGCCCAATGATGCTTCTGCAGTTTGGACTGATGGCCATAGCATGATCACAAAAACATGATTTACTAAATGTGTACTAAGTGCTAGATACTGTGCAAAGCATCTTACACACGTTACCTCATTTGGTCCTCACAAGAAAATACGGTAGGCACTGTAATTTCCCCTGTGGAACACCTGAGAACACTGAGTCTCAACAATGCTAAGTGACTCACCCAAAGGTCCAAAGCTGGTACATGGAATAGGCTGATTTTGACCTCAAGTCTGACCGCAAAAGCCAATGCTCATAACAACCATTTACATTGTGTAGTAATTTTAGACTTTGTTTTAAATTATAAAAGTATTATATGTTCAAAGGGGGAAAACTTATATATTACAAAAGGAAAATTTCTGTATTCTCATTTCTCTCTTTAATCCCACTCTCAGAAACAAATCCCTATTTACTAGCTGACATACTCCTTCCAGTCATATATACATATGGTGCTTCCTTACTCTGGCTGTACATTATATCCACCTGGGAAGCTTTTAAGAAAAGCTCCTTAAATACAGATGCTTTCAAAATAATATAAAAACAGGGAGGAGGTCAAAACATAAGAGACTCCTAAATATGGAGAACAAACAGAGGGTTACTGGAGGGATTGTGGGGGGGATGGGCTAAATGGGTAAGGGGCACTAAGGAATCCATTCCTGAAATCATTGTTGCACTATATGCTAACTAACTTGGATGTAAATTTAAAAAATAAATTAAATTTTGGGTGCCTGGGTGGCTCAGTCGGTTAAGCGGCCGACTTCGGCTCAGGTCATGATCTCACACTCCGTGAGTTCGAGCCCCGCGTCGGGCTCTGTACTGACAGCTCAGAGCCTGGAGCCTGCTTCAGAGTCTGTGTCTCCCCCTCTCTCTGCCCCTCCCCTGCTCATGCTCTGTCTCTCTCTGTCTCAAAAACAAATTTAAAAACATTAAAAAATTAAAAACAAAAACAAAGATGGACTCGAGTTTGACTTTCGCCAGAAAATCCTTCCATTCATTGTAATCCACAAGGATAGATGTTCCTTGGTCTTGGCCAACAAAATGAACCCTTGGACTTACACTGCCTTGCACTTCTTTCTAAATGTTATATATGTCTTACTGCCCTCCCAGTAAGGGTTTCCTTGAGGAGAGGACCTCATATCTAAAACTTATGTTCTCTCTCCCATAGCAAGGAGGAGTTCACTTGGAGTAGAGAAGTATTTGTTGCAATATCTCCCTTCACGTATCCTTCTAACTGCTTTGATATACCAAAGTAGGATTAAGACTCAATTCAGTCACGATGATAGTGCTATTCACCAGATTGTGCCTGATGAGTTCTTTAGCAAATTCAAAGGAAGAAGAAGCGTTGTCCATCAAGCTTTTGAGTTCTGCCTGAAATTGAAAAAGGAAAGGCTTAGGAAAACGCAAGTATACAGTCCTTACACCACATATTTTTACAACGTTTTATAGTTTACAAGGAATTTAACACACTGTTTCATTTGTTTCTCAGGACTCGGAGAGTCAGTGTGATTATTATCCTCATTTTACAGATGAGAACATCAAGGCTTATAAACATTACATGACTTGAACCTTCCAATAAGCAGCAAGTGTGAAACTGGTCAACCCAAGTCTGAAGACTTCTACTTTGCAGAGCCAAAGGTGATAAAGGAGCTAAGTTTTTCACAACTGAGGTTGGTTCTTCAATGTGATCATTCCACCTATACCCTGAACTCTCATAGTACCTCCTTCCTGCTGAATTGGCCTTTACTTACATACCATAATTAAAATACCTTCTCCTATTATTTATTAGACCTATCAGATCTCTTCTGTATTCTCTCACCCTTTTAGCTCCCCATAGAACAAATGGTCAACCTTTCTAGCATCCTCACTAACACCCTCGATTCCCTTAGCCCTTCCTCAGCTTTCTGTTGTTCCTGACTTGCCAATCTATAATTTTGAGTAATCTTCCTCTCCTCCTTTTTCTACTTCCATCAGTAGGTAGCTAACCTTTTCAGGCTAAAATAATTAAATTTTAAAAAATTTTATTTTAGAGACAGAGAGCAAGCAGGGGAGAGGGGCAGAGGGCTGAGGAGGGAGAGGGAAGGAGAGGGGGGAGAGAGAGAGAATATCTTAAGCAGGCTCCATGCTAAGCGCAGAGCCTGATGTCAGGCTCGATCCCCTGACCCTGGGATCATGATCTGAGCCGAAATCAACAGTCAGACCCTCAACCAATCGAGCCACCCAGGCTCCCCACTATTTAAATTCTCGATTGTTCTCACTAACCACTACAAACTTGCTCTACTTGATCTCATATGGGATTATGCATCTACCTCAGCAATGCTTTTATTAATCCCTTCTTTTGTCCACAGCAGCAATTCTAAAGTGTTTGGTAATATTAGGTTAGAGCAGCAATTTTCAAGCTTTTTGATCTCAAGATCTTTTTTATAGTCTTAAAAATTATTAAGGATCCTTAAGAGCTTTTGTTTACACGGGTTATAGCCCACATAAATAGCGCACACTACAATATACACTGTATTAGAAATTAAAACAGAAATTTTAAATTATTCAATTAATCAAAAATAATAATAACACCACTATATATTAACATAAATATATTTCATTAAGAAAACTGCATTTAGGGGCGCCTGGGTGGCTCAGTCAGTTGAGCATCCGACTTTGGCTAAGGTCATGATCTTATGGTTCGTGAGTTTTGAGTCCCACGTAGGGCTCTATGCTGACAGCTCAGAGCTGGGAGCCTCCTTTGGATTCGGTGTCTCTCCCTTTCTCTCCTCATTCATGCTCTTTCTCTCTCAAAAATAAATAAACATTTTTAAAAATTGCATGTAGGGGTGCCTGGGTGGTTCAGTCAGTTTAGTGTCGAATTCTAGGTTTCGGCTCAGGTCATGATCTTGCAATATTGTGAGTTCAAGCCCGATGTGGGGCTCTGTGCTGGCAGCACAGAGCCTTCTTGGAATACTCTCTCTCTGCCCCTTCCCTCACTCACGCTGTCTCTGTCTCTCTCAAAATGGATAAATAAACTTAAAAAAAATCCCCGCATTTACCACTGCAAAAATTTAGTGAGAAGAGTAGTACTGTTCCATAAATTTTTGCAAATCTCTTTCATGTCAGGCTTAAAAGAGGACAGCTAGCTTGGCATGTCTGTATCTGCATTGGATCTATTTTGAAATCACGTTGTCTCTGGAAAACTTCAGTGCACACTTGAGCAAATGAAAGTGAAAAAAGAAAATCTTTTAGTAAGATGAGGATAGTTCTGATTCAGGCAGGACCAGCCAGAACTGAGGGGAAGGCAAGTGAGATGCCTAGGGCACAAGATTTAAAACAGTACTCACTGGGGTGCCTGGGTGGCTCAGTTCGTTGAGCATGTGACCTGGGCTCAGGTCATGATCTCACAGCTCTGTGAGTTTGAGCCCTGCGTCAGGCTCTGTGCTGATGGCTCGGAGCCTGGAGCCTGCTTCGGATTCTGTGTCTCCCTCTCTCTCTGCCCCTAACCCACTTGCATTCTGTCTCTGTCTCTCTCAAAAATAAATCAACATTTAAAAAATAAAAAAAAAATAATAAAGCAGCACTCACTGCACAAGCAAAGATGTCTAACACCATTAGTCATCAGAGAAATGCCAATCAAAACCACAATGAGATTCCACTTCACATCCAACAGGATGGCTAGCATAAAAAAGTCAGATAATAACTGTTGGCAAGGATATAGAGAAACTGAAACTCCTACATACGGCTGGTGTGAATGTAAACTTGTACAGTTACTTTGTAAAACAGTCTGGCAGTCCCTTAATTAAATAGAGTGTTCCATATAACCCAGCAATTCCTCTTCTAGGAATATACCCAAGACAAGTGGAAACAAGTCCAAAACATGTCCAAAAACACGTACACAAATGCTCATAACAGCATTATTCATAATAGACAGAAAGCGGAAACAACCCAAATGTCCATCAGCTGATGAATGGAAAAATAAAATGAAATATATCCACACAATAGAATATTATTTGCTCATAAAAACAAATGAAATAGTAATACATGCTACAGCATGATGAACTTTATAAACGTTATACTAAATAAAAGAAGATAATCATAAAAGTTCACATGTGGGTGCCTAGATGGCTGGTTGGTTGAGCATCCAACTCTTGACTTTGGCTTGGGTCATGATCCCAAGGTCATGGGATCGGGCCCCATGTCAGGCTCTGGGCTGAGTGTGGAGCCTGCTTAAGACTCTCATTCTCTCTCATCCCTCCCCCGCTCTCTCAAATTAAATTTTTTTTTAATTTTTAATAAATTAAAAGAGGAAATGTTCTGCATGAAATATATCTTTTTACATTCAAATTTTCTGTGCCCTTATATTTAAAACATATATTAGGGTTTTGTCTTTTAAATCTAATTTGCCAATCTTTGTCTTTTAATTGAGAAATTAAAACTTTTATTTTATTTTTTTTAAATTTTTTTTTTTCAACGTTTTATTTATTTTTGGG